GTGTGTGTTTCATTTTTTAAATAAAAATGAGAAGAACCTGAAATTAAACGCCGCTGACGATGTGTGTTAGATTGAAAAAAACAAAACAACTTTACAAAAGCGCTTTGTGGCGTGTTTGGGGGAATTTGAGAAAGCACGAAAGGATTATGTTTCCCGAAAAGGGGCGAACAGTGTCTTTTTGTTTTTTAAGTAAGCGTTAGACGGCACTTTTAACAGGATTAGGCCTAGGTCATATAATAGAAGTGCTGAAAGTTGTAAGTGTTTCATGAAGAGTTACAGCTAATCACTAAAAGAGAGAAGAAGTAAGGGTGATAGATGTTTGATATTGAAAAAAAGTACCAAACCACACCAGAGCACCCGCCAACCACCTACTGTAGATTGTCTCTCTGAAATGTGCGGATGGCTTTCCAGACACGGTATACTGTGATGTGATATAGATCCTTAAAGGCTCAAACCCACGTTTACTCTGGACTTGATTTTTTCCGCCATATTTGAATTGAAGAATTTTGACGAATTTACCAGTTGGTCTGTAATACCAGTACAGCGTTGTGGTGAATATATACATTTATACCTAGAGGAGATGATCATGTATCGCATGACGACACAATTCCTCCTTTTCTTCTTCTTTCTTTTTTTTATTGCTTTGTTTTCATTTTCATTTTTTTTTGTCAGGGTGGAGGGGTGGGAGCATTGTTCATTTCTGCTTATTAACATTCTGTGTCTCTCTCTCTCTCTGTGTCTTTATTTCTCTCTCCTTCTCTCTCTCTCTGGGGGGGGGACGAGTTTTCTCTTTGTTTCTCTTCCTTTCTTTCTCTTTTTTCTGTGTTTTTTTCATTTCTCTCTTTTTCTTTCTTCCTTCGTTGCTTCCTTCTTTCTCTCTTTCATATTTTCTTTTTTTTTCTTTTATTCATTCTTTCTTTCTTTCTTTCTTTATGTCTATCTTTCTTTCTTTCAGTCTGTCTGTCTTCCTGTCTGTGTGTCTTTCTAATTGGGGGTTCGAGCATCAGCTCGGTCCGACGTTGTGTCCTTGGGAAAGTCAATTTACAGGAATTTCCCATTTGCTTCAGGCCTTTCGGAGGTCCCGTCTCTTACATAATCTAAAAGTGAAGATAGGAGCGTTTAACATATACCATTTATTTTTTTTGGGGGGGGGGCTCCTAAAGTGTTAGCTAATATAGCACAGAAATTGGGAATGTCTTGTAAATTGTTCTTGATTCGAACCTGATTCTGAGTGTATTGTTCTAACAACTGCATGCCAATTCCCAAGTGAGAACAGAGTACAACTGATACCAATGTGCGTACACACATACACACACACACACATACAACACACACATACAACACACACATACAACACCCACACACACCCACACACACACGTGCGCGCGCGCGCGCACGCACGCACGCACGCACGCACGCACACATATACGCTCGTGCGCACAAACATGCACACACGCACACGCATGCACACACACACACACACACA